CTACTTTTCATATAAGTTATTTGTGATTCAGGTTCTGTGAGTTACTGTGAAGGACTCAGCTTAACATATAGTCATACTTGTGCCCAAGATTTATCATAGGAGAAAGACATAAAGCAAAATCAGACCTTTCCGAGAACACACTGGCAAGCCTGGAATGTTAACTTTTCTTTCTGCCCAGGTAGACTGATGCTATACATATGAAGTTGCAATGTTCAGCCATTTTTTACTACCAAAAAAAAAAAAAACTTGTGTGCAGTTCAGCCTCTGGTTCTGTGGTCTGGTTTACTCCCCAAAGGTATGTGTGTAGCCTGGGGACTTGATTCCACAAAGTCCCACACTGAGCAGGGCCAAAGTTTTGCCCTTTCCCAGCCCATATGCCATACTTGATTTAAAACAGTGACAGAAATATATTATTTTTGTGGGGGTTAAGACCACCTGTGATTGAGTTTAAGCTCAACATGGTCCCTAAAGTTGTAGTCATAAATGTCTTATAAGAGTAAACATTTTGACTCAGTGAAGCATTTGTTGGACCAGTTATCTTCATCACATGAGAGAAGGCACTTCAACCAGCCCCTACAGTGAAACTTAGACCGAAAGCAGAGAGAACCCCGTGACCTTCATGGAAAGACCTTGCAAGGAGTGTATTAGTAGTGAGTCATAAAGGAGGTCGATTGTAAACACACATTTGTGGCACTTCCTGAAGCTGCAGAATTTTTTACTAAATGAAAGCTCTGAAGGTCTGCTGCCTGCATCTTCTATTGCAGAGTGATTTAGAGACAGAGGCCCAGACCACAAGGGTGCTTCTCTCCATCCTTCCTCTTCTCTTTAACACTTTTACATGTGATGCTAATGGAATAAAGCTTTCAAGCTAGCAGGAAGATCAATAAAAACTTTATAAGGCCAGCAATGTCTTGTTCAGCGTCATAGTATATGGCTCAGTTTTCTTTTCTGAAAAATGAAAGAGATTCAAATAAATAATACTGGAAATGTCATCTGGGTCATTTTAAAACTGGGATTTTAATGGTAATTTTTAAAAGTGTGTATGTGATCCTACATGCTACTTACCTAGGATTTCCAGATTTTTAAATGTTGGAAATTTTTAAATGGATAAATTACTATTTTCATTCTCTTCTCAAACAGCAAAATTCCTTGCCATTTGCTTGTGGGCGGGGGGGGGGGGGGGTGCGTTGCAAAACACAACCCTCTCAGAAGTTACTGTTTTCCTGCTATTGTGAGTGAGTTTTTTTCTTTCTTGAAGATTTATCCTTACCTTTGGCAACTTGAAAGGTATTACATCTCAGAAAACTGTCATCTCTCTAAGCCCCAGAAAGACTGATGATTAAGTCAGGAAACATAAGTCCTACCTTCCTGTCGCCCCCAGGAGGTGTGCTTGTAGCTGAGCTGCAAACCTCTGAAGCCAGCAGCAGAGCCAGGCTCTGCTCCCTAGGTCTGCTGTCACCAACTTGACATAAGTTTGCTTTCCCTGTTAGCGTTAAGCAAGCAAAGCCCAGAGGAACTAACTAGAAACCTGCTTTCCCACATTGGTGTAGGATTAGGGGGAGAGCCAAAAATACCTGCCACCTTTTATTGAGCCTTGCAGTGGACCCGGCAGTCTCATTTAATTTTCACAACCCTGAAAGTGTTTTCCCGCACTGCACACAGAGAAATTATGACTGAGAAGTTGAGTGACGTGCTGTGGGTTCACAGCTCATAACTGGCAGAGTCTGGTCAGCTGACTCCAAAGTGCACACCGCCTCCACTACGACCTCAACACACCGCTCTCCACCTGGGAGCGTGGGAGGCCTGGGACCTTGAGGAAGAGCATAAATGCTGAGAGAAGGAGGGCTAAATGTTTGCGAAACACCTCCTGTGGGCCATGCTCTATAATAGATTCTTAACCATAGATCTTTTCAACTAATCCTCCCAATGACCCTCTGAGTTAGGCCATTTCACCCTCATATTACCTACTCAGAGAAGTCAAGAAACTCTGACAGTCACTCAGCTGGTAAGTAGCAGGGCTCACAGAGGCTTCTCTGGTGGCTCAGATGATAAAGAATCTGCCTGCAATGCAGGAGACGCAAGAGACACCAGTTCCATCCCTGAGCCAGGAAGATCTCCTGGAGAAGGGAATGGCTACCCACTCCAGTATTCTGACCTGGAGAAGTCCATGGACAGAGGAGCCTGGCAGGCTACAGTCCATGGGGTCACAGAGACTCAGACAGAACTGAGCGACTCAGCACACACATAATCTGGGTTTAAACAGACTGACTTTCAAATTTACCTTTATTTTACTAAATTTAGCTTATCGGTTTTATAGGAACATAACACATTTTAAGATCAATTTTAAATTTGTTTTGTTATGAATAGGACTCAGAAGGATTTTGTGATAGAAATGAATTCCTGAGATCCAGATGATAAGAAAGTAGGCAGATTTAAAAAAAAAAAAAATCCACCATAATAAAGGAAAAGAGACATTTCAAATGCCACCCAAGTACTGGTTCTGTGTTCTTTACACGCTTTCACCTACAGAACTCATACAGATTTCTTCCCCTTATAATTACCAACTCTGGAGCAAAAAAAAAAAAAGTGGGCAGATAGATCCAACTCAACTGGGTCTAATAAAAATCAGATATATTGATAGGTAAATTGGAATTCAGGTAACCAGACCTCCAAACTTTCATTTTAATTGAAATTTATATATTACATTTGAATTTCAAGACAAAGCAAATTACAACCAAAAATGGGGGGAGAGGGATTACCCAGGAATTATTTGGAAAAGTCACTTGCACTGAATATGTCTTCTTTTGAATCTCCTCCATGGTCTACTGTAACATAATATTTAGCTATGATTGATATCTGTTGTCCGGGCCTAGGGGCATTGCAGATAATCAGCAGAGACAGATTAAATTATGTCAAATATGCTAAGGTAAGAAAGAAATGAATGCATATGAAATACAGTCTAAACAAATAGTCCTAATTATCTTTCAGTTAAGTGAAAATGATAAATAGAAGATCACTTAAACAGCTTACTAGTTTAAGGCTTTATTTGCTATGTGCTAGAGGTGGCTGTATAATAAAAAGAAAATAATCACAATATTCCCAATCTGTGTGCACTCCTTTCTGTTCATCTTCTTTATGAGCAATTTTGAGAATACCTTACAAAAGATGGGAGAAAGTTCTATCCATATTGAGCACCAGAGTTGCAATTAAGTCGATTTTTTATCTTTAGGGGCTGCCTTTAAAATTGTGAGGCTGTAGGCCAATACGAACTAGTGTGGCCTTTACCTGCCACATAGTGATAACTGGCAACTTGTTTTTGGCATGTGGATGAGAGTGTTATAGCAACCAGTGTTTATGTTTGAACCTGTTATTTAAAGCCAACAAATTGTTTGAAACTGGGCACTTAAACAGTGTTAAAAATACGGCATAGGATGCTTTCTGCTGTTCAGTCTGTGGTTTCCTCTGCTAGCTAATACCATATGTAATTGAGATGCATCCATAAAAATTTGGTGTATTCTTTGTTCAGAGCTTAAAGGGAAAGGTTTAGCAAATTTAATAACTTTTAAAGTACATCTGGGGTACCGTTTTTAAATTTAGTCTTCCTGAAGTGTAACTGTCACACTCTTTCAGGTTCAAAAACCCTGAACAACTGAATCTCATTTTCTAGTTATTCTTCATTTCCCTCAGCCTAGTGGAGGAGATAATAAATGTGCAATGTGTCAGGGGATAAGGACCACAAACACAGCAGAGTAAGGAGGAGAGATGAGTGACACAGGTGCTATTTTAGATAGATCAAGAGGACTCCAGTATCACATTTGAGCAGAGACTCAGTGGAAGTAAAGTACAGACCCATGTTAACATCTCAGAGAAGAACATTTCAGGTACATGCAAAGGCTCTGAGATGGACGCAGTCAGTATGCAAGATCTGAGCAGAGTAATTAAGAGGTCAAGTGGTACAAGGTAAAGGCCAGACCACATAGTATCCTGCAGGCCATGGACAGCCCTTGAATTTTTCTCTGAGTGGGATGGTGGCTGTTAGAGGAGTGACATGACTTATGATTTAATGGGATCACCCTGGCTGCTGAGATGAGCAGAGACTGAAAATCAGTGGTAGGATCTGATAGACTAGTTAAGAGGACATTCCAGTCACACAGGGAAGAGAGGATCAGAAAGGTGGTAATAGAGGTAATGATTTTTTAAGGTAGAGCTGAAAGAACTTACTAGTGAATCAAATTTGGGGAGAGATTGGAGGAGACAAGGCAAAGCTGATTCCAAGGCTCCAGGCCTAATCTACTGGAAGAATGGAATTGTTTGAATGGATGGGGAAGACTGTGGGTGAAACAGATTTTCAGGCAGAGGGTAGGAGGCAGGGAAAATCAAGAGTTTGGTTTTTGACACCACTTATGAGAAGCAGCAAAATACTTTAAATATCTTTTGAAAAATATTAAAGTAAAATGTGTAAAGAATGATTTACCTGGAGGACTTTATACTTTTGGTCACTTCCTAGAATACATTTCCCTTAGTCTCTTGAATGATCTTTGTTACTGAACATTTGTTAGAGGCTTTTCCAAAATCCTAGTAAATTATATCCCTCGTCCCCTTTTGGTGACCAGCTCGGTTATGTTCTTGGAATTTTTTCGTTCCGAATGCATGGCCTTTGTAAGAACAAAGATCAGATGCTCTAGATCCCAGTCTTATTTCTTCATGGTTGCTTTATGTATAAACTGGAACAGCCAGGGTGGCCGACTTCGTGGACCCTGAACACACCACTGCTGTAGCGTTGGTCAGTTGAGCTGAGGCTATTGATTCTTGGGTGTGTTCTTCCCACTGAACGTTATGCTCATTGAGGGTAGGATTTATCAGCTGCTTAATCTTTGTATTTCCTGAGTCTAGCCTAGTTCTTGATACCAAGGTTGACAGCAAATTTTGAATATGTGAATGTTTCTGAACAAATTTTGAGAAACTAAATATGTCTTTTCTCTCTTATCTCATCTGTGTAGCGCCTGATGGCAACAAAGTACAAGATAAGAAAACCGCTGCCTCCCACCGGCCCTCCACTACTATTTCAGGACAAAACAGCAGCCACTCAGGAAATAAGCCAGGTACTGTGCATTGCCTTTGCTGTGGACAAAGGAGGGCAATCCCAAAGGTCTTATGCCTGCTGGAATTTAGGAGAGCTTGGTTTCAGTCCTGCCACCAAAACACACATTTAGACAGATTTCTAGAAGTCAGAAAACCTCTCACACCTTGATTTTCTTTCTTTAAAGTGGAGATTCGAAGCTAAGCCCTACTCACCTCTCAGAATCATTTTCAAGCTGGTATCTGTGAATCCACTGTTTACTGTCAAGCAGTGTATGAGAGGTAATAATTTTTCCATTCTGCCTGAAATGATAGAAATGACACAGTTTTTTTGTACCTGTATGCCCAGCATTCGTGCATATCTCTTTTGTGACTTTTTCAAAACCCACTTAAGGAAATCATTACACATAGCAATGCTGGTATAGAATTACGTTTTTGTTCCCTGTTGCCTGCAATGATTGTACACCTACACAGTAATTTCATATAATAGCCTGTGATTCATGGTCTGTTCCATTCAGCGATACAAAGAAGCAAACACTCTGTAAACAAGCTACAAACAATGGAGTAAACAGTGCACTAGCTTCCGGGTATCCAGCGACCCTGAGATGGTCTTTGGGAGAGACCAACTTACTGTATGATGGAGGGAAAGGCAAACCAAACCCCTCTTGAGGTTCTTGGAAGCCTGCTTCATGCTGCATCCACGGCCAGAGTCACTCAAGAACAGTGAATCAGTGGGACTAAAGATGGAAATAACTCTACCTAGCCCCATAGAAAACATTCCCTGTCCCGCCTAGTTTTGTGGGGTCTTTTTTCCTGTGTGGAGGAGGTCTTGAACAGAGCAGATAAGTCTGCCTTGCCATTCAGACGATGTATAACAGTTACAGTTGCAATATTGCATTTGCTGCCATTAGTAGCGAATGATGTGGGGTTTCAGTGGAGTTTTAATTCACAGGCTGAGATTTTCCCCATTTAGTCAGTTTACATTTTCATTCATGTATCCGTCCATATATCCACCCAAAGCCCAGCCAACACGTAATGTTTCTTGAATAATTGCCCAGTATGGGGGGACTCAGAGATACCGTGTGAGCAAAGCAACAGGGCCGCTCTCCTCACAGAGCTTATTCTAATGGACTTTCATTCTCTGTAATCCAGTGGGCATCCTTGTAGAAGTAGAAGCTGTTGAGCGTGAAAATCCCCTTTGTTTTATCATGAGAATTGAACATAGCTAAACGGTTTATACTGATTTTCCCTTATTCTCTCCATCAACCATCATTTCTGATTCCTCCCATTCTTTACTGTGCAGTTTATACTTTTATATCCTGATAATTTGTTTATTCATCTGGTAATAGCACTGTGTAGGTACTAGGAATATATTATTGAAAGACATAATCCTACTCTCTAGCTGACAAGTGTAGCAGAAAAAATCAGTATGTGACTAGATCATTCTACCATAGTATTTCCATGTGAGAAGAGAAATATGCAGAGTGCATAGAATTATAGAGGCCGAAAGAAAATTCTTTTCTACCCCAATTGACTGTCTCTTCATAGAACTATTTGATTTATATTGCTAGAGTGACGTTCAGTGAGGAGACGTTTCATTTCAGATTGTGTCTTTTAAGTATTCTTGTGTCTGCTTTCTTGTATATACACATAAGCACAGATATATCAAAGACTCTTATTTTTAAAACCACCATGTTATTTTCCTGAGTATCTCTGAAGATGATATCAGAGGTTCCATGTTGGAGTTATAGGCTTGAGTAAAACCTTTTGATTTTATGGGATATGAGTCATGGGAATGTCTGTCTAAAGCATTTTTTTTTTTTTTAATTTTCTTACTTCAGGAACTTGAAAAGAAGTACATGCTCTTTGGGGGATATTTTGAGTATTGCCCTAACCAAATGCAAACATCCTGACAGTAGTTGTTCAGATAGGAGTCAAGGTTTAGTGAGTTCTTATAAAAAGCCTTGTCACAGTGAGCTTATTTTTCTTGATCTTTGAGGGTCACTCTTTAGTTCCAGATTTTTCAGGATTGTACATTTTCACATGTAACCACAGGCTATTTTCAGTATGCCCTTTCACTCTCAAAAGTACCTTGGTTTAGGTGGTCCATCTACTTTCCAGTTATCACAGGTAGGAGGTTGGATGCAGAGTGAGCTGCAAGTGTGTCTCCACTGAAATCCTATTTCTCTTAAAAACTTTTCCTTCTAAGAATTAAGTAACTTAATTCTATTCTAACAGTGTTAGATCTATTGGGAAACAGTGTGAAATGTTCATGATGTCAAACTATTTTCTATACCTTCACTTTGTTCCAGAAAAAAAGTGGTATGAGGATAGAAATGAGACGGAGAAAAAAAATTTCAGAAAATTCGCTATTTACTTGCAATTATTCAATTGTATAATTTTTTTTCTGAAATCCTACCTTTAAAGGTCATTTTTATCATTTTTTAATTATTAAACCTTAGAATTGTAATCACTAGTATTTATTAATACCTTTTTAAAAGTCTGTTGTCAAATACAAGTTTGGTATGAGTTTGGCCTCATAGTGAATGTTAATTCCATTAACATTTAGAGTGTGTAGGCTCCAAACATTAGCCAAGGTTGCTGGCTCATTTCTTCTTTCATTCATTTAATAAATATTTATTGAATGCCCTCCTTTCTGCCAGGTATAGTCCTAGGCTTTGGGAATACAGCAATGAACAAAACTGACCAGGCCCTGCTCCTCCCTACCCATGTTCACAGCCATCTTTAATCTGCCACAGGGTGTTTATTAACATTCTGGTACCAAAGTGACCTTCTTATTAATGTGACCAGAAGGATGGAAACAGAATTCAAACGGAATACCTTTTTCACTCTACAGTGCTTTTTAGCTCCAGGTCCCAAAACCAACCAAAATCGTCTAGCATGTGATAGTCACTATGCATGTTATATTTTAGAAATGTGTTGCGTTTGTTCTTTGCTTTCTCAAATCAAATTCTAAATAAATAGTGGTTGAGATCAGTGCTGAAGCAATAATGGTGGCCAGGGAGGATTATTGAAGTCATAAGCATTGGCCTTATTTATAGTGCTTATTGATGTATCTTTATAGCACTATATACAACCTGGTTTCTTAGGTACTGGTGTTACCAGACTGGATACAGTTTATTACATGTGAAGAGTGTAATTTTCATATGGAGTGATATCATAGAAATCAGAGGTAAACTATTCCCTTTCTTTATGTATCTAAAAGGCAGGTGTTCCATTGCATAATTGAGTGTTGGCTCATGACTGCAGGAACACCAGGTATTGACTTGGGGTTCTCAGGGTTGCTTAGGGTGGAAGAAGGTAGATGAGGATGACTATGTTGTTATTGAAACTTTTTGTCAAAATTTGTGTGAAATTTGTAGAAATGTCACATACTCCGTATTCTATGAACAGAATTTTACTTCATAGTCTCTATTTATAGACTTTCTATAATGTGCCCGTGTAATTTTTAGAAATAAAGTTGGTTTTCAAGTTTCATAATAAGTGCAGAGTTTTCATAAGGGAGTAAAACCTCACTATTAAAAGACTTTTTTTAAGCAATAAGTAACTGCTAGAAGTCTTGCTTCTAACTTCATTTTGGCTTGTGTTCTTAGATAATTTTTTTCTTCAAAATATCATTTCGATAGGGCTATCATTTCCAAAAACAAATGACAGCAAATCTCCCCTGTCTGTGACCCTTAACAAAGTGCCTGGCGGGGTCTATGTGCCTCTTTTCTGGTGTCAGAAGAAAACCTTTTGGGACCGAAGACCGTATTTTTCTACATAAAGAATATTTGAAACCTCATAAATGATTAGCAAATGGGGAAATAATTATCATAATGAATGTGAGCTAGTTAGGTGTTCATATTATCAATATTAAAAAAATACCTTAAAGCAAAGGAAAAACACAAAATATCCTCTCCTGGTCCTGCCCATGACCGCACTGCCGGGTTTAGGCAGCTTCTCATGCACTTTCTTACAGTTCTGTTTCTCTTAAATGGACACGCTCTGTAACATTTAGGAGGCATTTGAGATGCGAGGCCTTTAAATCTGTTGAAGTACTCCTGTGTTGTCCCTAAAGTATTATTCCAGTAGGTTTTTCTTTTTAATATGAGATTTTAAATTGTTAATTTAGTAGCAAGGAAAATAATGCTGATTTTAAGTGTAACTATCATCATCGTCACCGTCATCATTACTTCGCTTTTGTTTTTATTTAGTAGCGGGCAGAGCGAGCGCATTTGTATAGACCTCTGCTGGGGAGCCCGTAGTGGCATCTCAGTCACAGCATAATCCAAAGTCCTCACCAGCACCCCAGCCTCTGGCCCCACGCTTAACTGATCTTACTCTGCTCCAGTGGCTCAGATTTTCATGTCGTTTCTTGAGCATCTTAGGGACTTGTGACCTCAGGGCCTTTGCACTTGAGCTTTTCACCTCTTGGAATGTCTGTACAGACAGCTCCCCTATTTCCATCATGTTTTTACACATACAAGCTACCATCAAGTTAGAATTCCCTTGGCGCCTGTCCAGAATGTCCAGCCTGCCGTTTCAGTCCGTTTCATTGCTTTGTTGTCTCCTTAGCTTTTATCTCAGCCAGTCCTCTTGCCCGGAAAATCCCATGGACAGAGGAGCCTGGTAGGCTGCAGTCCATGGGGTCGCTAAGAGTTGGACACGACTGAGCGACTTCACTTTCCCTTTTCACTTTCATGCATTGAAGAAGGAAATGGCAACCCACTCCAGTGTTCTTGCCTGGAGAATCCCAGGGGCAGAGGAGCCTGGTGGGCTGCCATCTATGGGATCGCACAGAGTCAGACATGACTGAAGCGACTTAGCAGCAGCAGCAACGTTCCCAGGTGGCTCAGTGGTAAAGAACCCACCTGCCAATGCAGGAGATGCAGGTTCAATCCCTGGATCGGGAAGATCCCCTGGAAAAGGAAATGGCAACGCACTCCAGTGTTCTTGCCTGGGAAATCCTATGGACAGAGGAGCCTGGCAGGCTCCAGTCCATGGGGTCGCAAAAGAGTCTGACACAACTTAGCTATTAAAACAATAATTCTATTTGCGTGCACGCTAAGTCATCTTTGTTGCATCCAACTCTGTGCAACTCCATGGATTGTAGCCCGCCAGGCTCCTCTGTCTATGGAATTCTCCAGGCAAGAATACTGGAGTGGGTTGTCATTTCCTTTTCCAGAACATTCTATATATTGCCCCTTTTCCCATTCTCTATATTTTACATATGTTTTCCCTAAGCAAACTTTATTTGAGCAGAGATTTCTCTCTTTGAAAGGAGGTTAGCTCTCCTTTCAGCACATAAAACACTGCCTGATCACAGTAGATATTTAATGTATTCAATGAATGCAGATATTTACTGAGATTTAACAAGTGCTAGGCACTGTACTAATGCTGTTATAAGCATCATTTTATTTAATCCATATGGTGATGTTAGATAGGGTCTATTTTATCCTCACAGACAACAAGTAAAAACCCATGAAACTGATGTCACAGCTTAAGCTGGGTGAGTAACTCGGCCAAGTCTCAGCAAGTGAGAGAGAACCAGAAGTGACTTCATGCCTGTCTGATTTCAAAGCTGGGCTCTTCATATCTAACTGGTGACTGACCATCTCTTTAGTAGAGTAAATTCACTTAGGATTCTATTTGTTGTTAAGGAGAAGACTTTTTTTAATTTTATTTTTTATTTTTTATTTGGCTGTGCTCTGACTTTTCTCTCTAGTTTGGGCGAGCAGGAACTACTCTCTAGTTGCAGAGTGCAGATGTTAGGGCACACAGGCTTCAGCAGTTGCGGCATCTGGGCTCAGTAATTGTGGCTTCCAAGCTCTAGAACACAGGTTCAGTAGTTGTGGCTTGGTTACTCCATAGCATGTGGGATCTCTCAAACCAGGGATCAAACCTGTGTCTCCTGCCTTAGCAGGCGGCTTCTTTACCACTAATCCCCCAGGGAAGCCCCAGGAGACTTATTAAAACATAAAAATAATAAAAGTTCAGTAGTTTAGAAACATAAAACCTCATGAATAGTGTTTGATGAAAATAAGCCATAGGCACAGTTATGTTTTTACATAATTTGTTTTGGCTGTGTGTCTTTTTTTTTTTTGAGTCTTACCGAGATGTAATTAACATACAGCATCAATTAAACTGTAAGTTTAAGGTGTACAGCATAATGACTTGACTTGTATTATAACATATTTATTCCAATATATTTAGTTAACATCCAGCATCTTATATAGATACAAAAAGAAAAATTATTTTTTTCCCTTGTGATGAGAACTCATAGAATCTAACCTCATATATAGTATTTTTAAATTGAAGAAAATACTGGGAAATTCTCAGGAAAATTATAATAAAGTACATCACTACAAGTATGGTCATAATTATTGTAATGTTACTATAGGTAAGATGTAGTAATAATTCATTCATCAGATTTACCAGACAAAGAGATATTTATCAGTGTATATCATTTTTTAAAAATCTGCTCCTCTTATGTCTCCCATCTCCTTTTCAGACCCGCCACCTGTGCTGCGTGTTGATGACCGGCAGAGGCTTGCGAGGGAGCGGCGTGAGGAGCGGGAGAAGCAGCTAGGTATGTCCCTTTCAAAGACACTCTTGTTGAAATGTTACTTTTTTCCACCTAGGATAATGGACACTTAACATTGAGCAAACAGACATTTCTATAATAGCCATGCTGTCTTGCATGCCTTTATGAGTTTTGCTGATGGATTGGGAGACAGAATTTAGTATGTGATATAAACATAGAACCAAGTTTTCACCCACAATGAAGTCCAACCCAGGATTAGGGAGATTTTCATTTCTTGGTGTAATGACAGCTTCATCTGACCCTGGAGGAATGTATATATGAGAGGCGTGATGGCTCAGCTTACATTTTACAACTTAGAAAATACCAGGAGAGCCAGCATAGGGTTCTTTTTATGTGCCCAGTTATGACACTGTTTAGTGCTAGGGCCCTCACTGCTTTCCACGTTAAAAGAACACTGCTGCTGAATTTATAGACAGATGCTACCAGTATGCTGCCAGGAAAAACACAAGACCTGAGCTGTGATGTCTGACTTTTCTTTTGTTCCCAAGGCCCTTGCAAAAGTTTAGCAACTGCAGTATTGCCACACGATCAGCTAGAAAGCTGGGTCACGGGACTAGCTGACCAGGAAGCCAAGATCTAAGCACTCAGCAATCATCTTCTAGAACGCTGAGCAAGGATATTGGTGCTAGCTCCTCCTTTGCTTGAATGTCCATTTATGCAAAGTTTTCCAAGACAGGATAGTCTCTTTATGTGCCTTGGAAAGATGAAATGTCTAGTCATGTGTCTCAGTGTTTCCAGGGTGTCTGATATTTTAAAACCAGAACTGACTTAGGTTGTCACAATCTTTCCAGTGGATGACTTATAACTTTTCTAAAGTTCTACTGCATTTTATAAGAGTTAGTGTTTCAATTGGAGAAACCCAGCCCCATATCCCATCTCTGATTATTTGTATTCAAGAACCCAGATTTGTGAAGTTCACTGGAAGCTGGTTTTCAAAAGTCTGTTGACATTGTTTACATTCTTTGAACACAGGCCTCTTTCTCTCCCTTGCCATCATGGGCATGTGAGGTCATTTCTTCTGCTGCCAAGGTTGTTCCAACACAAATTTCAATGACTTGCTGGAAGTTAACAAGCCTCATTTCTCTGGGTTTAAAGTTTGCGCCTACGCTTGACGTTCTTCACCTCTGGGGGGGTCTCCTTCCGGCTGGTAGGTTCCTGGAGAACAGGGCTACCTGTGGCCTATTCCACTCGTCTCTGCTTGGAGTGCTGTGCAGTCCGGATTCCTTCCTTTTATGAACTGTGCCCACTGCTCCCCAGGCAAGGTCAATTTGACAAGTGGATCAGAACTGAGAGGGAAAGAAAGGCAGAGCTACAGAAGCAAGAAGAGATCCCAGATGAGCAGAAAGCAGCAGACTGCTGCTCCAGGGTGGTTGGTATTTACACTCTGGTTTTGAATCCATCCAAACAGGGAAAAGCACTCTCTCCTCTCCACGCCATCCCTGTCAGGTTAGGCTACTACTGCTGCTACTGCTAAGTCACTTCAGTCGTGTCCGACTCTGTGCGACCCCGTCCCTGGGATTCTCCAGGCAAGAACACTGGAGTGGGTTGCCATTTCCTTCTCCAGTGCGTAAAAGTGAAAGTGAAGTCGCTCAGTCATGTCTGACTCGTCGTGACCCCATGGACTGCAGCCTACCAGGCTCCTCTGTCCATGGGATTTTCCAGGCAAGAGTACTGGAGTGGGGTGCCATTGCCTTCTCCGCAGGTTAGGCTTCACCCTGTTAAATGTCTCCTTAGCATTGCAATGTGGATTCATAGCTGCCTGAGCTCCACAGGGTGAGGAGGCTATTCCTTTATGATTTAAATCCCATCAAGAATTAGCTTTTCCACCTTAACTCATGTCTTTCCATTTGGGTTTCTTTGTCTTTCAAATCCAGGTGTTACTAGTTTTATCATGGAAAACATGATTATGCTGCTCACACAATAATGATTTCCCTTCTTATGCTATAAAGCTGTATAGCTCTAAGCCTGCAGATTCTCCCTGTAAATTGCCTTGCTTTATCTGTTAAGTGGCTGGGTTTCTTCTTAATATACAACCCCATATTTTAAATCATATTTCAGACCATACATCAATGGTATAAAACATGCATCATTAATTTATATATGTTAAAACTGCTATTTGCCAGGTACTATGCTAAAAAGATGAATAAAGGTTGAGACCCAGCCCTCCAGGGTTATCTGCAGTCTAGTGGGAGGTGGGAGAGGGTAGATAAACACACAGCGATTCTAATAGAGGATGGTATTGAAGGAGTGCGCACATGGGGCATGAGAATCCACAGAAGAACCTCACCCAGCCTGGGGATGTCAGGGACCGCCTGAGCTTCCAGCTGGAGGATGAACGGAGTCATCAGGGAACTGGAAGGGATGCGGACTGCAGATCAGTGGTGCAAGGACAGGTGGCGACAGACCCAACATCTGTTCATCGTCAGATTAATTCATGGGTCAGAGTAAAGTTCAAATTATTATGTTATCCTGTGGTCACAGCTTTACTTATTTGGTGAGCTAGTCGCTCAGACAATAAAGCATCTGCCTGCAATGCGGGAGACCTGGGTTCGATCCCTGGGTTGGGAAGGTCCCCTGGAGAAGGATGGCAACCAACTCCAGTATTCTTGCCTGGAAAATTCCATGGACAGAGGAGCCTGGCAGGCTACAGCCCATGGTGTCGTAAAGAGTCGGACCCAACTGAGCAATTAGCACACACAGCGTATTCTAGGCTTTGTTTTTCTTCCTTCTTACCCCTGCTGCATTTAATACTACAGTTTCCTTAATTTTGATCTCTTTTCTTGTTGTTAACAGTCATAGTTTTAATGAAGTAGCATTTTATTTATTGTATTTATATTTTATTTTACTCTGCACTTTAATGTTCTTATTTTTTCTGCATTAATTATATTTTCTTTTAAAATTTTAACCCAATGTCTTTTGGCCTATTCTTTTCCACTTAAGTTCTCTGAGTAGAAATTAATATTCAGAAATACACAAACATATAAATGTGCCCTTATGTTTGTGAAAGAGTCATCTAAAATCTAGCATCTGATTTAATCTGTGCCTTAGAATGCAAAAGAGCTATTTCTAAAAAATTTTAGTCCTAAGAGAAAAGTAAAGGGCATCTGATAAACTACCCTAAACTGTGCTTTGCAGAAACTATGATGGCAGTGGAATAGTGTTTTTGAAAAAATGGCAGGTAGGGTGGAGGAATGGCTATTATCTCAAAGATCTTTGGAATGTGCTTTTTGAAAACACAAAAGCAGTTGATAATATCAACTATTACCAAGCTTTCAAAGTTTAAAGCTTTCCAAGTATAAAAGGAAAAAGAAGAAAAGAATATATCCCAGATATTCCAACAAAGCAAAGTTGAAAGCAATTGGCTGATGAAATTGATTATTTACTGTTGAATGTACGCTGAAAATAATATTGAAATCATTGAAGTTTTTTTTTAAGACCACATTTTTAAAAGCAAAGTAGAAAGAAGGAGAATAAAGATCTTTGCTTTGGGTGACATGTCATGTTTGTATTGTTTTGCAAAGAGGGTCTGTTAATAACTTTCTGTGGGTTAAATCTCTGAGTCATGCTTTAATGCATTATGATAGGATTATGTCATGTGGCCTGCTGTTTCTACATTATCCTTCAATTTATCACATAAAATCAGGGATAATTCTTGAAGTGTGGGACTGTTCTGTTCATTTGGTTGGGCATATATACTCTGAAAGCTTTATTTTTCTGCCTTAAAAGGTTTTCTCATGAAGAAATGTCCTCAACTAGTCTATTTCATCTGACTCTAATTCAGACCACTCCTTCAAACTTCTCTCTTGACTATTTTTACCATCTCTTTTCTAAGCTTTAATTTTGTTTTTTTCCTGGGCTAGGTGGGGAGAATTGTTATTTGTTCTCATGATTTCTACTCTCTTGTTTTAATATTATGGGTTCCACATTCCCAACTCACTCTTTAAGGTAGTAGATGCTTTCCTGTCATCTGAAACTCAACTTCTATACCATAAATTGTCCATCAACTTTCACTCCAAGTGATTGCCATGTACCAGTCACTTGCACCAATATGCCTTCCACCCTTCCCCACCCCCACAGCATTATTTTTCAGGTTGTGGTGGTTTTTGTTTTGATTCTTTCTGCTGCTGCTGGAGGCATTGGCGTCTTTCCGACTGCCAGCCTTAACTACTGAATCTTTCGCAGAATAACATGTTCTCTTCCTGGTGGTCCAGTGCTGCCTGCCTAGGCCCCACGCTGGCCTGTTGAGCCCCTTGTAGGTGCCGCTGGTCAGTCTGGACTCAGCCTGGTCCTCTAGCTGTGGCTTCAGGTTTGTAGGTGGAGGTTGCCTCACACCCTGCCCCTCAACCCACAAAGTCACAGGTCCAGTGCTCCTCTGTCTTCACCAGCGGTCTCAGATCCTTTCCTTTAAATTTGCTGCTTCAGCTATCATCCTACTGCACACTTTAATAAATTTAGATTTCAGTTACCCAAAACTGTCTCACTGATGTACTTCATTCGTCCAGCTCTGTCACATTCAATTCCAGTCCTTCTTTTTGAAGCCTTCCTAGTTTTTATGATCTTTTCCCTTTTGGAAACTCTCATTTTCTTACTCTATAATGTATCTTGCATAACTATCATGTTTTAGCTATTTTATATGTTACTGAACTTCTATTGGGACTTTATAAAACTTTTTAGTTGTATATATTTTAAGCTTTTAAAGAGTCTAGTCATAGTTTTCTAATTCTTTTTATCCCAGTACCTAGGGCTAAATATAAAACAGATGTATAATAAATATTTTCTGACTATACTCAAACCTTTAATTAAATGCTAATAATATTATTATTAATAATCATGTTAATTGAGCACTGAACATGCAAAGCAATGTTCTAAGCACTTCACTCTGTATTATCCCACTTAGAAGCAAATTAACTCAATGGTTGTACTTTCTGTTGTGTAAGCCTTTCATAGTTGCTGATGTAAGTTATTTTATGCATTGTCTTTTATTT